TACTATTACCATCATATTGCCACTGCACTACTTGTCTGCCTATTCATCTTGTGTTTCTGTTTTTGTTCTTTTTACCTCAATGTTTTGTTTTGTTCTATTGTATTGTGTTTTGTTGTGTTCTGATATACGAGCTGCTATGATGACTTAATTTCCCTCCGGGGATGAATAAAGTAATCTATCTATCTATCTAATGTTCAAAACAAGCCCAGCAATGTCATCATCTATTGATATAAAAATCACATCAGCAGAATTGGCATTAATCAGTAGATTACATTGCCACTGATGGTTTACCATTGGTGTGTGATGCATATAAATTATTCACATTCACTTTTTCTAGTTTGATCTATATTCTCCCCTGAATTAGCTAACTCAGCTCAACTTGTAGCCTTGAGTTTTGTTATATGGAAGCTGTGGTTACTTAGCTGCTGATATGACATGATCCGACATAATCTAAACAGTTAAACAGTTTAGCTGGCTACAGTACAATGCAAAGTGCATTAACTGTATTGCATACAGCTTTTCCTCATATCTGGTCTCAAATGCCCAGGCCAGGCAACAGCCATTGTTTCATTGATGAAATAAATTCTGCCTGCTAACAATCCTTCTCCTTCATCCCTTTTTCTTCCCAGGTTCGTGATGGCAGGTTTGAGACTGATCCTCTGATAGGGAGGTACTGTGGGAGCTCCCTGCCCGCTGCCATGGTCTCATCCTCCAATTTTCTGTGGATTCGCTTCAGGTCTGACAGTTCAGTCAGCCGAGCTGGTTTCAGGGCTGTCTATACCGTTGGTGAGATTTCACACATTTATATACCTGATATGACATTATGCCTATATGCAAATTGCTCCTGGTATGCTTTGTGGAATATATTAATACCAAAAGTGGTTAATCAGTAGTATGTTCACCATTCACTGTTTATTTCTGTAGTAAATGCTTGAAACAGTAGGAGCACAAGTAAAGCACAATAAAGGAAACATCAAAGGCCCAAGCACGGACGTGAATCCACATAGTTTAAGCTTTGTCTATTCCATCTATTCCATGAATCCTCCCTCTCCCCAGCTTGTGGTGGTACTTTGTCTGGGACTGGGCAGTTACGCTCTCCGTACCACCCCAGTGCCTATCCCCACAACAAGGTCTGTGAGTGGGTCATCAACCAGCCAGAGGGCAATGTGGTCACCCTCAATTTCCTGGCATTTGACGTTGAGGGAGGGTCTTGTCGTTTTGACTTTGTTGAGGTAAATACATGTGAAAAAAATTCAGACTATCTGTTGGACATTCAATTTTTTCTTATTAAATAACAAATAATATTGACACCCTTGTTCCCCTTCCCTTTATTATGATTCATGTGTATTCTGTGGTGTTTTCAAATGGTGGTAATTGTTATGATGAAACTACGTAAGTAAAAAAGATGTTGCTTTTTATGAGAGGCCCTATGAGAAATAATCCATATTTACTATACTCTCCTACACACGCTACTATACTGTCATACACGCACCATCATACTCTCACACACACTATTATACTGTCATACATGCACCATCATACTGTCACACACACTATTATACTGTCATACATGCACCATCATACTGTCACACACACTATTATACTGTCATACATGCACCATCATACTCTCACATGCACACCACTATAGTCTTACACACTACCCTCTGTGTGAGTATGATTCAAAAGGAAGTGAGTTCGACCAAACCAGAAGACTAAATCCCAAATTGTCTGACCCTGACTGGCTTACAGTCTTGAATACAGAGCCTGCTCTCAGGGCACTGTGTAGCAAAAGGACAATGCAAAAGGACAACAGACAATGCGGACACTGTAATTGCAGAATGTAAAACCTACATTCATCATCCTCTCTCTTATACACACTACTATGACTAGCAGCAGTAACAATCAAACTCAAAACCACAACCTTAGCATAATAAATGGTCACGCTACCAACACCAGCACACCCAGTTTAAACAGAGGAGAACTCCACAATACGCACACAGCTCGAATGCTGCCACTCGGCCCACTGGGTCTGGCTGTCTGCTTCTCTCTGCCTCTTAACCGCCATGGCCTTGATTGGTGATTGAGCCCAGCTGTGTAGACTCACACACTGCAGCTGCAGGGAAAAGGGTGGCACCTGAATGGACACTGGGGAGAGAGAGGAGAGAGAGAGCAAAGATAAAACACAACACAGCACATAACAGTGTTCTTCAGAAAAGAAGATCATTTGTAATGAAGCTTTTTTATTCTGTCTTCCAGGTGAGAGACGGTTCCACATCTAGCTCTCCTCTGCTGGGGACATTCTGTGGTGTTGAGATTCCCCCCAGGCTCCAGTCATCTCAGAGATCTATGTATATCAAATTCAAGACTGACTCGTCTGTCAGCAACCATGGCTTTGAAGCAGCCTATAGCTCTGCCTTGCAGGGTGAGAATAATGTCAACATTTTGCAACAATTTCATACTGACTGCCCTAGGTTAGAAAAAACAATTTGTGTATCAGCATAGATGTTATTTGTAAAGGTGGTACCAAACTGTTGTGTGACATGAAACATTTACTGTTTGGCTTTTAAAATGACTTCTTAGCATCTCAGCAAGAAGCACAAGCCTCAGACAAAGGAAATACATTATAAGTTAAATTTAAATCAAATTGTTAATTTGCATCTGCATTTATATTACTTATACTAATACTTTTCTAGTCTTAACCACAAGTCATTAACACTACAAGTCAAATTCATACAGTGCTTCTATATATAGTGCTTCTCTATCACAACCATCAAGGACAATTTTGGTTGCAGTTTCTTGCCCATGCATACTCTGCCATGAGGACAGTAGGAAAGGGGGGGGTCTAACCCTCTTATCCTTATATAATTCATTTTAATAATTTTGTAATTAATAATCTCTAATGATGATCTTCTAGTCTAAATAAACACCAAAGTACTGTATAAAATGCTACACTCAGCAACATTCCCAATTAGATCTGTGTAAAAGCTTGCAGTGGACATATAAGATTGGATAATAGTTATTTGTAATGAAGCTCCGTCTTCAATTACATATCCGAAGATTTTTTATTTTTGGAGTCTTACCCATAAACAGTATGTAGTACCTGATTAGAAGACTTGCTTACCCGAAAAGTGCCAAGACCACAGCAAGCGCTTGCTTGTCTTTGCGAAGCTCGTGACTCTGGTCCAAATTGCAACTTCATTCTTTCAGCTTTCATATGACTTTACCTCAACGAAGCCTGGTCTCTGTAGTTGCTAACCAAAGTTATGCAATAAGAAGACAAACTTTTAAAGTTTAAAGTTCAGCATCTATTTTATTTGTGAACCCTGCTTTGTTCACAACACTAAAGTGCCAACAACTATTACTTCCTGTTCCTTTAAAATGAAATTCCTAAGTTCTTCTCAGTACTCCATAAGGGACACTATCTTTTTTCAGAGGCAGAGGACGGAAGAAACATATGAATTCTACTGTGGAGATCACATGATCATGTTTACAGTACCCTGACACCATCATCAGCTCTTGTTACCAAAAACTCTTTTGACATCATTGGTGTCTCCTATTTGTAATACATCCCTTATCACCGGGATATATTTGTTTTTTAATTTTTGCGTCTGTCCCCTGCATTTGGGGCTTATATCCCTTGAGGAGCTTGTTAACATCCCTCTCCAGGAGAAGTGGGTAAGAAGTGCCATTTTTGCAGAAGGGGCACTAAGGTGGGCAAGTGTGGAATGTCACAGGTCAAAGGTGGAGATCATGGGTGGGAGCTGGCAAGGGGTCTTGAAGGGGATTGTGTCAGGTCTGCTCCATTCTCTTCAATGCCGCATTCCATTACACCTCGGAGGTCTGTAATTTTGAGCTGCAAGTTGCAACTTGAATGCCCCCTCAAGTCGGAGGAACCTCACCAAGCCCAACTTTGAAATCCAAAATGGCTGCACCGTGTATCAACAATAGTGAAAGCTGTAGTTTTTACTGTTTATAAGCACTTCTAACATTAAATTTGTTGTACACATAGCTCTGTCCAATTATTGTTTGTGGACAACCACAGTGTTAGTATGCCTGAATTGCGTTATCTGTTACGCATATTACACGTAACAGATTTTGCTAGCAATGGCTGGCTGGCTAACACAAACGTTGCTCCTGTGCAACTAGAACACTATCAACTTGGGTTAATAGGGTGTGGCATCATTGATATGTTGGTAGGTTTGAATTGATGTTGGAGTTTTTCACAGTACTGTTCTGCAGCTACATGGCTTCATCCCTGACCGCCCTGCTAAATTTGTACTTTGACTTTTTGAAACTGCCCCTGTCCCCACTCCTAAATGCATTTTCAACCTTAACTGTCTGAGTTGGCTTGTGAACCAGCATTTATCATTGTTGTAACTCACCTTGGTGATTGATTGAATTCAGCAGTCCTCACAGAATGTATGAAGTCACAGCCTCTGTATATACATCCAGACTGTTGGTAGCAGACCCATTCATTAGATAGGGGTGTCTGGTTTGATAGTAACGTCTAGGGTTAGAAACCTTTAACTACCACCAATATGTAGCTGTGAATAATTCAAGGGGACTGTTTGGCCTTTGAAACTGCAGCTGCTGCTTTTAACATGACATAAGAACCAGAATTTCAGCAATTAAATTAAGTTAGTGTCTTTTAAAGCAGCTTTGAGCTTCTCAATTTATCAAACTTTAGTGTTGACCATTTGTCCTGCTTTCATTTCTAGGCTGTGGTGATACACTGACCAGTCCCTCAGGCACCATTACAAGCCCTGGCCACCCCACCAACTACCCCCATGGTGCCAACTGTACCTGGTACATCAGTGTTTCTCCAGGCAACCTGGTTCGACTGTCGTTTGATTCCTTTAACTTGGAGTACCACAGTAACTGTAACTTTGATTACCTGGAGGTCTATGACAATGGCACTGTGCAGAGTGGAACCAAGATTGGCAGGTACAGTATATGGTGTTTATATATTATGTGTGTGTATGTTCGACTCTACATTGACAATATTGACAAGGAAAAAATGACGATGTATCATTTAGAAGTCAAAAAAGCTTTCAGAGACTATATCCTACTGCCAACATAAGTGGACAATAAATTACAAAATTCAGGCTAACAGGCAACATTAGATACATTATGGGGCAGAATGTTGTTCTGAGATCAGATGGATGGAGGGGTATTACCTCTGCTTCGGTATTATCTAATTGATGTCTAGTTGTAGCTTAAACAGGTCAAGCACTTCCTGATTTGCTTGCCCTGACGACATGCTACTGATCTGTCAGCTGACATTGTAACGGCTATGGTTTTGGAACCCAAATGCAGCACAACAAGCATGGACAGTTGGTAACAGTCTTTATTGTCGGCTCTTAGCAGATCAGGTGGCAGGCAATAC